TATTGTAAAAGCTCTTTTTTTCATGTTAATTCCTTTAAAAAAATATAATAGTACGTAGGGGTTACATTACAGGCCTGTTTCACCAACACAAAGTATCTGTACTGGAGTAGCACATGCAAATGAAGCCAAAACAGAGAATCATTGTTTAATATAATTTGCTTCAGAAAAAAAGCTAAACTATTCTTGTTTTAGTTAAAAAAAAAAAATTAAAAATTTCATTTTGGCACTTTTCCTTAAAGAGTGTTGGGGCTGAAGAGATGTCTTTATTTGTTTTAACAATCTTATATCTTCCCATTAATATTTTCTGCAGAGTAACTGGTTAGCTATTAAACACCAACTCTACAAAGATGTAAGCACACACCTAATTGTGTTCACAACAGTTATCCCTCTGAAATGGGAATGCTTTCCTGAGCAAAATAGTTCTGGATTCAAAGTAGGAATAGCTAAAATCCTTAAAGCAGCACTTTCAAATACATTAGAATTAATTTAACCTTTCACTATTCTGAGTCTATAATTTGATTGATTATTCAGTTAATTGTACTTAAAACTTTTCATGCAACAGTATGTGCTTCCTAAGTGTTGTTTATCTAGTGGTAATATGCAAAAAAAATAGGAATATGCATAATGTTGTGCATCTTTTGCTTCTTATTACATTGAGATTTCTTTACTTTCTTGGTCAAAACTATTTGCTGCTTCTTACTTTTCTTACTGATCTTAGAGATCTTCTCTAAATAGTAGTATTTAGTAACTTTATAATGTTTAAGACCACTCAGACCTACTTTAAAACTACCCATTTTTAGAAAAATTAAATACCTGTTTTTACTCACATATAAGAAAAAGTTTCTGAATTCCAGGAAATTTAGTGCTATCAATTACACAAACAAAAAGTTTTTGCCAGACAGGACCAAAAGAAAAAAAAAAAATCAAAAAAGTTTTGCCAGACAGGGCAGGTACCTTTGCAACGTTTTGCCGCAGACTTCAGCAAAGCCAGGGCTTAAGAGTCAGCATATGGGGCTCACTCCATTGAAATGTGATGTTCTGTAGCACACTCCAGGACTCTCTGGAGATCATCATGTCTGTCTGTGATAGACCCCTTCCTTTTTGGGTATTTGCATTTCAAGAAGGGATCGTAGAATCAGACAGTCATACAGTCAATGAATGGTTTGGCTTAGAAGGGACCTCAAAGATCATCCAATCCCCCTACCACACACAGACTCTTTTCACTGGACCACTCAGATATCTTGATCGAGGCTAGGTAGAACTTCCTTTGGAGTCTTCCTCCAGAGTCAAACTCTCTAGGAAAGACATATTCTTAATTAACTGAAACAAAATAAAAAACATGCTGCAGCTCTTACACAAGTAAAGCTTTCCCATTTGGAAATGGCAGTAGAAGATTCATCTACTTTGTGTAAAAGATGAATTGTACAATACTATACAGTTCATTCAAATGAAAAACATAGAGGAAAAAACAACACCATTTTTCCCAGTAAAGTGAGCAAGCAGAATTTATCTCTGGCAATATCTGACATTTATCATTTGTACCCTACTCTGTATAATACCAAGTAAAGGATAAGGTTGGCAAATTTTAAACATTCTGTTGGCAAGACCTAACAATCTATTACTAACATGATAACTAATCATCCAGCATCCTACCTCTGCACTGAGCAGCCTGAAAAAGAGATATCTGATATGATAAAAATGGTTCCTAAAAATTCCTGGGTCTTTACTTCACTACTGCTGTCAGTGCAAATGTCAGCTGGAGTGACACTACCTTCCATTCTTCACTCCAGAGATTTATTCCAGAGGCTATGGTGTGACATTTCCAAAAACTACCTCAATCTCTGCCTTGTTTGAACAGTTCACTAAATTTTGTAAAAAAATGTAGGGAAAATATATACCTGTACTAAAATCACCAAATACGAAATGTGTGTGACTTATGCTGAGTGGTTTGTTTCAAACTTAAAACTTTTCCTGTACTTTGGAAGGGCTGCCAGTGTAGCTGATAACCACTAAAGTTGTATTTCAAGGGATATGATGTTTTTACCTACAGTAGTAATTTACTAATATCAATTTAGTCAGTTCCTTAGAGAGAGAAAGCTATATAAGTAAAATGACCATATCTACATAAGAGTCTTTGCAAGTATAAACAACAGTCAGAAGGAAAATAAAATAAACCAAAACTAAATAAAATAAAATAAATAAAAATTTTTAAAAATACCCTGCCATCAAGCTAAGACTGCAAAACTTCTGAGTATATGCCAGGCCTCAGAAAAGCATGTGCATTTTAAGAATAAAAAAATAGGCTTTGAAGTGGGGAGCACTCAGTGAAGATGAATGGGCTGAGGTCACAACTCTACATGTTTTATTGTTTTAGTCCATCTGACTTGCTGAACAAACAAGCAGCCAAGTGCTGATTTACAGAGGGAAGGTTATCTTCCTGACCAATGAGGACCAAATGTCTTGTTTTGAAACAGAATCAGATTCTATGGAACATAAAATTCTTGGAACCTGCTGCTGATTTCCTGCCTTCAGTAATTTCTTCTTGCAGCTGGCAGAAGCTTAAAACAGTAAAATCAAGCAGTTTAGGAAACTTCCCACAGCAATGTCTTCCTAATGCTGAGTATGACAGGGTCGTAAAACATGACACAGAGAAAATGAGCCATTGAATCTGATTTCTTTTTTAATCTAACAGGTTTTCAAATTATTATATTTTCTTATATTTTACTTAAATGTTACTTAAGGGTCAGCTACAGCTGGGAAACTGAGTCCAGCTAAGTACAAACTAGGAGCTTTAATTAAAACACAGCAAACTGGCAAATCCAAATAAAGATTTCTGGACTCCACAATGTACAGAACTGCTCTGATAACCGTAACTGTCTAGCAAATGGGTGTTTTCACTGGAATTTTTCTTTAGCCAATGTCTCATGGGGGAAAAGAAAAGAACTCTAGCAAAGGTACTCTATAAAAACGTTGGGGTAGGTAGATCCACAAAGAGATTCAAGCCTTCAACATTAGTCATGACAGATTTGCGAAATACCAAAGGCCTCCTAACCTGCCAAGAATGAAAAAATTCTTTCACACCTGCAGTTCTGCCCATTGTTACATGTGATAGCTTAACATATACTCAGGGACCTGCATTACACCTAAGCCCAATGAGGCACGAGCACACAGATTTATCTTAGATGGAGAGAGTCTTGATTTGTCAAATAAGTTAATAATCACATCACCCCGTTGAATGGTGGATAGCTGCCCAGTTTGAGGGAAATAATTCCGCTTGATTTCCGTTGATTGTTTTAGCCTTTTGTTTATTGGACATACTGGGATGATATAGCCTTGTTTCTTGCACAGAAACAACACCACCTATATCCATAATTAAATATGCACTGGAGCAGAGATTTGGCACTATCTGTGTCTGTGTCTCTTGCTGGTTAAACATGCCAAACACAGTACTGCAGGGCAAAATCCACCTCATCTAAACCAAATTAGTATTTGTTTTATGCAAAATGACACAGGACAAGAAAGCTTCTTGTAAGAGCAGCATGTTGGTGGGGCTTCTCCTGGAGGAATAGCTTGGTTAGTATCTCTTATGCCCAGTCTGGCAAAGTGTCCCAGCCCAAAATCTGTGTCCTAACTATCACAACTTGTCGCAAAAGGGCTGTGACCCTTTAGTTCCTACTTCAAAGAGAATTTCCAGCTGAGAATTGGAGTCAGAAGTACATGCCTCTCTCTGCACAATTAGCCTTGGCCAGGTCTTGATGAATCTAAGTCGGTAACTAAGTTGTGCAAAACTGCACTTTGTTGGGCTACAGCTTCATTTTACCTGCTTTATATTTGCTGGGATTTGCTCTTGCTGTTTGGCCTCATGTCAAAGCTGTATTTTAAAAACATCACTTCCTCAAAGAAAATTGGAGAAAGCAGAAGATCAGAGTTGAAAGGTTTCTTGGAAGAAGTGTTTGTGTTTCTGGATACAGTGATCACTGTTCAGCTGTTCAGATGATTTAAACGAAACAATTTTACATTAGTCAACAGTTCTACTACAAGACTCCTTGTAAAAAGCAAAGCCTTCTCTAATAAGGAGGCCTCTCAGGAAACAGAAAAATAAAGTGAAATTAATTTGTGTTCAGCCTCCAAATCAGGGATAATTTCAGTCTTATTTTCAATTAAAATGGTTTGGTACTGTTGGCCACTTGACAAATCATATTTGAGCGAGAAAAGTTGTCAAGGTGTTCCTTCTCTTCCGCACATGTTTCTAGAAGGAACAATTCTTGTTATCATATGTTCTGAGTCATAATAACAAGCATTACTGGAAAGTTACAAATATTTTAAAAAGAAAATTAAGTTTCTTGCACTTATTTATCAATCTTTTTTCAGAGAAAGGTACTAGAGCAGACATTATTTGAAACTCATGTAGTACTTGATTTTTCAGCTGAACATACCAACATTCATTAGTCTTACTTACTGGTCATTTGTAGTGCCTTTATTATCAAGTAAAGAATAAATATAAATTCTAGCAAAAATTCATCAAGACTTTTGATCTGTTGTTTTAAGGCTGACTACACAGAAGTTTGTTACAAACATTTAAAAAATTCTTCCATAAATCCTTTACATCTTAACTATTCTAAACTTAGGCAGGCTAAGTTTTTCATATATCTAACATAATTGCATGTTTTTCACTAACACACTCCTGTGTGATTCCAAGTTAAAACTTATTATATATAAAGTGACTAACCACAATTAATATATATTAAAGTAAAATTTCTGTATTTTATTTTGACAGCAAATAAAAAGAAACAAAGAAGTCTAAGAAACCTTTGAAAATGTAATTGGTTTAATTTTAATTGATCATTTTAATAGCACACAAGGCGTAACAAAATTAAAAGCCTATTAGTGATCATTGTTCCAAAAATGCACTTTACTTCCATTAACTTACATTATTTTAGTGGGAGCACATTTAAAGTACAGCTGTAAATATTTTTAATCTTTGACTTTTTCTTTTACAGGAGCCTCTCAATGTTATTGATCCCAGTTTGATGGATCTAAATGGTCCAAGTGAAGATGCACTAGAATGGGATGAAACTGACATAAGTAATAAGCTCATCAGTATTCATGAAGACTTAAGTGATCCTGATCAGGAGCTCAACAAGGATGATCTAAACCAGAAACCTGCTTCAGAAGAATGTGGTGATAATGATGTGAATGAGGATGAAAGTATCAGTAATCATGGAATTCCTCTTTATTGTCCCAACATTACTTCCCCTCCAAATCCTCACATCTATCAGGTCTATAGTCTTCATAATATTGAATTATCAGAAAAAAAACATATGCCTTTTTTGAAAAAAACATCCAGACTCTCCAATGTAATGCAGTCTAACATTTTAAACAAAAGTCTCAGTAAAGATTCATCGTTTTCATCTACCAAATCCCTGCCAGATCTAATAGGAGGTACCACATTGGCAAAACCATATAACTGCATGTATCAGAGTGGGAACATAAGCAGGCATTCTGAGAGTGAGAGTGGGATAGTGAGTGAATGTGATACAGAAACTACAAATAATTCAGAAATTTTTTTGCTAAATGATATTGAAAGCAGTCAGAGTAATCCTGAAATTGGGCATGTGGAAATCCAAGTGGATAATGTAATAAAACCAAAACTAAAGCAAGATGATGAAGAAGATCATACTAGTCTTTCAGATGATTTCCAATTGGCTCCTTCTGCATGCTGTGGAAGTGAAAATGATGAGGATTTGGACAATATTACTGTGTCTAACCCTGGTTGTCCAGAAGAATTGCAAGGGAAACATGATGTGTTTACATTTTATGATTACTCATATCTTCAAGGCTCCAAATTCAAATTACCAGTGATAATGAAACAATCACAAATTGAAAAAACACATACAGAGGGTAGTTTGTTTCATGACTTTTGTTTTGACAAAATACCTGGTAAATCCGAGCATAAGTCTGGAGAGTCACAACCAGATGGGTTTATTCATGATCATACTCTGGCAAGTGTCTGTGGAGAATCAGATCCCAATTCTGGTAAATCTACAGAAACTGTAAAAAAATTACCTGTTACAGAGAATACAAGACAGGTTGCCACTTTATCTCATAGTTCTTCTTTAGAATCTCTGTCAGTAGTAGGTGATTTGTTCAGCTCAGGTATTTTTAAAAGTGGAGATGGTCTTCAGCGAAGTGCCTCTTTGGAGAGCTGGCTGACTTCCTACAAAAGCAATGAAGATCTTTTCAGTCATCATGGCTCTGGAGACATAAGTGCAAGCAGCGATTCTGTTGGAGAGCTCAGTAAAAGGACATTAGATCTTTTGAATCGCTTAGAGAATATCCAGAGTCCTTCAGATCAAAAAATAAAGCGCAGCATCTCTGATATGACACTCCAAAGTAGCTCTCAAAAAATGTCTTTTACTGGACAGCTGTCTCTAGATATTGCATCTTCAATCAATGAAGATTCAGCAGCTTCTCTCACTGAACTCAGCAGCAGTGAGGATCTTTCTCTCTGCTCTGAAGACATTGTACTACACAGAAATAAAATACCAGATTCAAATGCATCATTTAGAAAACATCTTAATAGATCTGTAGCTGATGAGAGTGATGTCAATGTCAGCATGATTGTTAATGTCTCCTGCACCTCTGCTTGTACTGATGATGAAGATGACAGTGATTTGCTTTCAAGTTCCACCCTTACCTTAACTGAGGAAGAACTAGGTATCAAAGATGAAGATGACGACTCCAGTATAGCAACTGATGAGGATATTTATGAAGAATGCAATTTAATTTCAGGACTTGATTATATAAAAAACGAGCTCCAAACCTGGATTAGACCAAAATTTTCCTTGACAAGGGAGAAAAGAAAAAGTAACCTCAGTGATGAAATTCAGCGCAGTAAAGAAGTTCGTAATGAGACATCAAAAGCCACAGATACATTAAGCATTGAAACACTACTAAATGGTTCAGTGCAGAAAATATCGGAAAATAATGGCAATAGTAAGAATATACCATGTGATCGTCAAAAAGGGACAAAGAGTCACCCAATGAAAGATATCTCTCAGGTTGTGAAGGATCAGCTTGTGGATGATATGGAGAATGGCAATGTCGAAAATACTCTTGGCAGTCAAAAGGAAGGTCTTGTTAGTGTCGCAGCAACCCCCAAAACTCATGCATCACTTGATGTCAGAGAAGCTGAAAATGAGTGTGGTGTCTGTGAAGCATTTACAGACAGTTCAGATGATTCACATATGGATGGCAAGGAGACTGTTCTTTCCTCAGATGGATCCAGGAACCCTCCAAGAGAATGTCAAAGTCATCTTCAGGCTGATCATCACTCTGTTGCTTCCTCTCCTGCAAAAAAGCCTTGCCTTGAATCTTCCTCAGAAATTAATTCTGTAGGCATACAAGACACAGCTTTACAGCCATCCTTATCTAGTGGTCAACAACACAGAATAAACACTACTGAAAAAGTTCCTGATTGCTGTGCAGCCTTGAAGTCCAATGAAGCAGAATGCAACTCATCAGCCAATGGTTTTGATTTGTGCTGTAACTGTGAATCTGCTGATTTTGATAAAAAAACCATGGAAGATGGCTCAGTACACAATTTTGTGAGGGAGATAATAGACATGGCATCAACAGCTTTGAAAAGTAAGTCACAACCTGAATGTGAGTCATCTGCTCCAGCTTCATTAGCACAGATCAAGGAAAAAGTCTTAGAACACTCTCACAGACCCATCCAGCTAAGGAAAGGAGACTTCTATTCTTATCTTTCACTTTCTTCTCATGATAGTGACTGTGGAGAGGTAATCAAATACATAGAGGAAAAGAGCAGCACTCCTGTGCCACTGGACTTCACAGATGAGAGAGAAGATATTGAATGCTTCTTTGAAGCCTGTCCTGAGGAAGAACGGGTTGAGCAGCAGCAACAGGCTATTTCTAATGGTTCTTCTGAAGCACAAGTTGAGCCGCAGCAAACTATTTCTAACCCTGTTTCTGAAACATCTGCAGAGTCATTAGGTGAAGTGACTCCAGAGTCATTAGAATTTAAAACTTCTTCTGAAGGTAGGGATTTATCTTTCTTATGTGGGAATGACAATGATATAAATATTCCAAATACTAACAAAAAATATACATCAAGTAATTCAAAAAATGCTGATGATGATTTGCTGTTTTCAGATGGACGAAATGAAAGTTTGGAAAAGAATTCTCCAGAGGTTAGCACTAAAAAGAATAGTGCAGGAAAATCACCTGGAACAGAAGATAAAAAAGGATGTGTTGCTGCTTCTGAAGAGGCTTCAGCTAAAGAGCTTCAGATAAAGCCTGACCATTCACAGAAAAAGGATGGTTTGCATCAGAACAGAAAAACTCTTACTTGTGAAGAAACTCTCCTGAAACTTCATAAGGAAAGACATATAAATATGCACAGATAGAATGTAACCCTCTCAAGGCACATAGATTATTCTAAAAACAGGTATGTACTCTACAAGTTGCACTTTTTTTTTTTTTTTACTTTTTTTTAAACTTTTTTTTTTAACTTTTTTTTTTTTTACAATGAAAGGAGATGAATCATCAGTCAGGGCTTCTGTTTCATGATAGTGCTATGTCATTTGTTTTGATTACACTGTAATCCCAGTTTACATGCCACTAGTCAACAAATGCAGTGAATACTAATTTCGTTTTGCCCTTTGGCTTTGCACTGACTGGAGCTGCTCCCTTCTGGAACAAGTCTGCTATCTTGCAGAACCTGGGAATTCTTCCAACATAATATATCAGCCTCCTTTCCCTCCTCAGCTGAGGGAACCAGAAACCATCCCTACTCATTGATGCCTTTCTCTTCAGGCATCTGGTCTTAGGAGGGGTTCAAAAGCACTTGATATAGCTGAATTTCCAGTTCTGCAAGAATTAGTTTGTTTGACTAGTGAGTTGGAGTTCTACAATATTTATAGACAAACCATGAAGAACAACTAAGCAGACTGGAGAATAGAGAGATAATAAGTAATCTCCTGATGCCAGTTTACCATGATGTTAATTCAGTAAGCCATTATTAATAACAGAATTATTACAACATAGCTTAGGCCAAAAGTTGAGGTTTCAACTTTTTTCAACTTTCAAAAACAAAAAATCTTTACAATATCATGAAAGTATATAATGTGAGGGTAATGGAGATGAAAACTGATGACTATCCAGTACCCAGCAGTACTTCAACCTTTGGTTCTATTTTGTGGTAAGTGTTTTGAAACATGAATAAGATGATGGAACCTAAGGCAAAAAGGTGGTCCTGATCTCTACCAATGTTTGAAAGTGGTTCAGATCTAGAATTTCTGACCTCACATAAATGTTGAACAATAGCTGCACATTTAATTATGGAAGAGGACCTAAAAAAGCAACTTTTGGATCAGTTCCTAGCATTCAGCACTGCTGTTTTGAGTCTCACTAGTTTGGTGACCCAAAAGCCAGCACAGCTCTATCAAATGCTATTAGTCTTTGGAAACACTCCTCCAGCAGACTACAGCCAGAAGAGCAACTCCAAATGCCAATCCAATTCCAAATGCTGCTGCTTGCAAGAAGCTGTAGCAAGGGAATTTACAATAAAACACAAGGCTAAGTATGGGACAGATTTCCTTGAGGAGTTCTTTAATCTCCACCTGTGGAGATTTTCAAAATTCAAGTGGATGTGGCCCTGAATAATCTTTTCTACCTTTGAAAACAGCCTTCCTTTTAACAGGAGGTTGGATCAGTTGATGTTCAAGTTTCCTTCCAACCTAAGTTATGCTATGATTCCAAGATGTTGGCAGGAGAAAAGGCTGTTATTCATCACTGCCCGTGGAAAACATTAGTACTCTCCTATGGCAAACTATGTAGCTGTAGCAGAGGATCACATCTGATTTATACAAAATAGATTTCTTTGCTGCTCTTAGTGATCTAACTTCCTCATTTTTGATTTTGTTACGTTATATTTCTAAGCTTTGGGCTTTCCATTTATTGGTGGTTTACCCAACATTCCCATATTCACATATATATTTCTATCAAAGCCTTTAGGTTATGACAGCTTGCTGCTATCTCAACACATCTCTGTTTGACTAATGCATTATCTTGAAACCATCATAGCAAAGACAATATGTCTGGAATGGCTTTGAAATAGGCTATCATGACCTGCTGATTGCCAATTAGGGTAATACTTGGACAGATGCAAACAACTGGAGAAGCAATGGAAATCAAGTATGAATTACAAAACTCATAGATGATTCTATGTATTCTGGAATTAAATTGATTATATGTATATAAAAGTCTCTATTTGGAAATTGAGATGATGACAAAAGTCTGAGATTGTTAACTGAAACTGATGTAAATGTAAGCTTTGCAAGTTATTGTTTTACTAGTTTTCTCATTTTTTCACTCATTTTTATAATATTATTATTTTGAGAAAGAATACTTGCTGTAGTGAGTGTGATTTTATCCTTCTTCTCTCTGATAATGACATGTCTTTTTAATTTATTAGTACTTTTGCTCTGAGGATCTCAAAATACTGCATAAACTTACCTCATTCTTCAGAACTTTATTGTTATTTACATAGTAGCCACATGGGTTTTTTTCCATAAGACTGGAAATAAAAATATGCAGTTTGTGTGAGGTCTAAGAGTGGACATAGAGGATAGGTTTAATAATAAATGCCCCACAATGCAATAAAATGCAAGGCAGAATCTGGATACAACAACTTAATAGGGTTATGTTATAGCTTCCACTTTTGCCCAGAGGCTGACAAATTATTTTAAGAAAACAAAGCCCCTCACACTACATTCCTGCTTTTTATATGTAGGAAGATACACTGGTTCTTAACTTGTACATATAGCATTACTTCCATGGAAACTATGTGCTGTATTATTCCCAGTAGTAAAGTTCTAGAATACATATAGTTTATCTCTGACACACCAAAAATGAAAATATGAGCTGCTAGGTTTGGTTTCACTAAAGTCTGAGCTCCCTTCCCCCATTCACAAGCTTGATGCTTTAACTTCATCTCTCATGCTATGGGGAATGAATTACAGAAGCAATCTATCCTAATTTGTTAACTTATTCAAATAACAGTTATTATACTTAACTATGCTAAAGATTATCTTTTTGGTGGCAGATTGTTTATTTTTTGATGAGGCTAATTACTGATTTTCCAAAGGTAATTTACATTTATTACTAATACATCTTTTAAAATGTGACAGATAAATGTTGTTCCCATAAGTGTATTATGAAAAAAGTTACTATTTAAAAACACATTATTTAATTTGAAAGATAAATGGCAAACACCATTATTTTCCTGAAGCACCTGTGCTGTAAGCTCATTTAAATGTGTAATTCCATGTGTAGCTGCAATACTTAGAAAAAAAAATCTATATTATATGTGTACCTTAAAAGCATACTGAGGATTCAAAGCTGAAAAAGACATGGTTTCAAATGTGGGTTGATTTTGTACTGTTTTAGCATTTACCCTGGCTTTACAGGAGAATAAAAGTATAAAAGTAATAGTCAAATGCTGCAATCCTGTTTTTTAACAGTGTGCTAAAAAAAAAAAAAAAAAAAAAAAAAAAGACCAAAAGACCATTGTGGGAAAATAATAAAATAATTCTATGGGCAGCCTCAAAAATATCTCTGACAGCACTGACTACTCCTTCACATGAGCTGACACAGAGTTCTTCAGCAGAGGTGCTCATAAAGCTGCACTGATTTTATTTCTCAATTAGGGGTCACCTTGAAAGATCTATCTGTACATGAGATCATGTGATCCTCTGCTGTCACTGTGACCCATGACTCACCAATGGGATGGGAACTTTTAGTTACAAATTCAATATGCATAGAGATCAATTCATTCAGGACATTTATGTGTTCTATCCAAAGTCTTTTCTAGAGAATGCCTTAGAATTCTGTGTGTAATCTATTAGTTCTTACAAGTAAATCCAAAACCTATTTCCTTACTTCTGTATTTTAAACTTAAGTTTTAACTTAATTTAGGGGAAGAATAATTTACTTGCACTTAAGAAAACTAAATTGATTTTATCTGACAGTGCTGCAATATTAGATAGAATATTCTGCCACTCCCTATTGCCAAGAGAAACCCAGCACTGGTGCTTAAAGCGCCCGACTGTTATTTTCTGCTCAGCAATAGATATTTTGTATGACTTTTTCCTTCCTTGTCTGATTTTTTTTAGCAACAAAATAATGAGAATAATGATCAGTGAGACCTATGAAGAACAGCTTATTTATGTAAAAGTATTTTGAGATCCACAGATAAAAGATGATACATAAATGCAAAGGACTGTTAGTTATTTATTTCCTACAGGAGAAAAAACCCACAAGTTTGCATAATAGTTTATAATAATTTGTTTTAGAGACTGGAACTACAATAATAATCTAAATCTTTGCTTAATTTTTTTTCCTAGAGATTTTTGTAGGGAAGTAAATAATATAAAGTTTCTTTATAGAGTTTAAAGCAGTCTGACTTTTTAGCTCTTTACAGTACCTGACTTTAAAAAAGCTAAATAAACAGAGACTCTTATATTGAAATCTATAAATTACATAATTTTTGAAGAAATTTTGAATTTCAATCAGTGAGACTTTTCTTACTCATGCCAGAATTTTAGAAACCTTTTGATACAGTCTGCTGCTTTATTCTGATCAGTTTTTCATTTCATATCTAAACAGATGGTTAGATGGTTGTGCTTTTCAGTATTTTCAAGTAAGAGTATTTCTTGTATAAATGGGGAAGGATGTGGTCAGTTACAACAAAGAGGATCAAAGGAGATGGTAACTGGATGGATCCAGATATTCCTGCTTAACTTGGAAGGCACATAATGCATGTCTGGAGTGCCTCCTAGGAAATGCCTATGAGATGTACTTTGCACTAATCTTTGAGCTGTATTCTGACAGTTATTTCTTCATAATTCTCATCATAAGCCCATGCTCTTTGCTGAATAGTTTAACCATAAACTCTGAGCTGGATAATTTTATAGTAGGCAAATTTAACTCATTGCTGGTACTAGAAGTGTCTAAATAGTTATTTGCAATTTAAAAATGCAGTGATGATGCTGACAATTCTATTCACAGACCACTTCTGTGACAGTCTTTTCCTCTTCTCCGTTGAAGTCTCACTATAGATGTTTGCACAAATATTAAAATAATTGTTGGATAGATCTTTTTGTTGCTTGACTTTTGAAAATTTCCATGTTTTCATTGGTTGGTGCACTTCTGTGTGCTGGAGGTAAGTTCACAGGTAAAGATGAGGACAAGATCCAGGGAAAAGGTCCAGTGTGATGAACACCCTTGTTTCTTCAGAAGCAAAGTATTTATAAAAATCAGTGACTTTTTTACATAAATTCATTTTTTCACGTTAACTTGTACCTCAGGCTGTTAAAGTAATTTTTTGCCTACTGTATGCTTCTGCATTAAAGACTGTGGCATGTGACCATTTAATGGCTATCTATTATTGTTCTGGAAGACCTATGTTTTGCAAATAAAACTTCATTTTCTGTAACCTACTATTACTTTTCTGTTTCCTTTTAGAAACTTGGCTGCAATTCAGGTGCAGGTTCATCCTGTAAACCCTGGGATGACCTCCAATTCCATTGTATCACTGCCCTTCATTAAACTGACTCCCAAGATAATTTTTTTTTCCAAATGTGGTTTGTCCATGTTGGCTTTGTGGTCAGGCTGCATATGCTAGTCCTATTTCAGTGATCATTTTGTTTTGTAGCAAGGCCATTTGCCTTCATATGGATTCCTCTCCCAAGCTACCTCTAAGGATCTCCCCTTCCTAAATTGGATGCTCCTGTACTACTTACCACTGGTTCTGTTCTTTAAAGTACTATAGAATTCACGGTCAGTCTAGTTCATCTTTTCAGAATTGTACCTGTCAGTACTCTTCTATTTTATGTATCAAATTTAATATTTATCTGTATAATGCATAAGTTTATTGAAACTATTTTTCTTTTAAAGTGACTATTTTGTTGGATTGCAGCAAAAAGAAGTCATTGGTCCTCCTGATTCAATACATCTAAAAATTAAGCAATTTAAATAAATGGCATTTTCTTTATTTAATTTAAAAATTTAATCTATGCAACACTTCAAGAAACAACTACATAGTGTTGTATATTAGCAACTGTTGGCATTCTACTGAATTAAGTATAACATTTTGGGTTTTTATGCTTCTTGAGGTGGTAATGAGAAAAAAAGTTTTTAAAAAATGTGTGCCTTGCTGTATTTCTTATACCATTTATTAAAAAGCTGCTTTCACAGTAAAATTATGTTGGTTTGAAAGGAGGAAATAGCAAGGTTAAGATGTGTGAATAATTTCTGTATATATGTATAACCAACTGCAAACATTAATGTATAATGACAGTATAAAATGCTTTCATGTTTGTGATGTCCAGTGATGTGGAAATTATAAGCCTTAAAACCATTAGATTGCATGGTAATTAGAATTGGCACAATAAACATAGTTTATTGGGGAAAAATAAAAAAAGCAGAATTGGTGATCTGTTTTACCTGCGTTCCAAGCACAGAATGCTTTATCAAAATTCCAAAGAATATGGTTTTCTTTGCAAATATTCCATAGAGATATGCGACTCTTTAACTGGTGAAGATTTGTATTATCTAACTCACAGGAAAATAACTTTTTCATTAAAGATTCTGTAGGTCTTTTGGGCCAAACAAGGAGACACAACTATTTAGTACCTCATATAGTATTTTATAGCAGATTTTTTTGTTGTTTATCAGCAGCAGTTTGTTGTCCAATTCTTAAAATTCCATTCATTTACATAATCACATTGAACAAGCTCTATCTAGACACCTAGCTGTTGGCTGTTTTGATGACTTAGATTGTACATTTCAAGTGTTTTGATCTTTTGCTAAAACGATATTGAGTGGCCAAAAAAAGCCAACCAGCCAGCTTTATAAGTTAACTCTGCAAACATGGCATTCATCTAAAAACACTATTGGGAAGGAATGTCAGGAAATTTGACAGGCAGTGCCCTCTGATGTCACCTTTAATCATTATATTTCCAACTATATAAACGTTTTTACAAAAAGCTTCAGCATTTCTCCTTTAAAACATGTTTGACAAACTTAGCTGAAAGCAGAGAGAAGCTACACTGACCAGAAGATATATTCATGCAACACTGAAGGAACAGATATTTAAGAACAATCTCATGTTTTCCAAAGTACTAACAGCTTCCTATTACTCCAGGAGGGAAATTATTTGTCTCTCAATTTAAATTTCCACAGTGTAGCCTTAGGCAAACTATGAAGTTTGTAGGGCAGCAGTAGCAATGCTTATCTTTAAGTATAAATAAGTATTTATTATGTGAACCTTTTGAATCTGCAGAGATTTCTGCACATGCATATCTTTTATCAGGTACAAGTCTTAACAAGTTAACCAATAATTACCTAAGATGTATAATTATATAGCTGAAGACCACTTTATTGTATTTTAAATATTTTTAAGATATATATATTTAAAGTAATTCAAAATATAACTCCTAATTTTAGTAAATTTTTTACAGTGACAATTACGTTTATTTATGAGTTATCTCAACCATGATTTTTTAAATGGTCTAGACAGAGGAATTAATAATTATTCTTCTTTTCTCCCTAGTATTTTCTGGTTTATGCTATATATTTTTAAAACTTACTTTCACTATAGTCACACCTTTCACTGTGACAACAGGCAAATAATTCAGAGGCTTTTCAGATCTGTCATTTCACCCAACAGACTGTGCATAACTCCATCAATTACTTGTACCATTCTATTAGGCCGTTTGCCACAAATTCACTTTTTTCCTGGGGGAAAACAGTATTACTTGTCAAATCAATAAACCACATATTCATCATATAATATCTGGAATACTGTATGGTCACAACTCAAATTTCTGTGGTTTCTCTCTGAGAGATTGGAACATTTTAATTTGACTAGTAATCCCAGATCTATATTATTTGGTCTCATGAGATAAAGTTACCATTTTTAGACTTTTTTGGCTATAAAATTTACTGTTTTACAATTTTTATTCTCAGAATTGACTTTGTTGTCAATAAAAATGGATTTCTAAGTGAAACACTGATATATATATATATATATATACACACACACATATATGTATTGCACTAGGCTGTTTCCTCTCTTAGTGTAAGTCATGCTTATGGCCATATTGTGCTAGAACTTATTGCAATTTCCTAAAGGAAAATATTGGTATGGTGTAAAACTAATGTTGATATACCAAGAGTACCTTAAGATCAGCCCATGCAGAGAATCCTGTATAGAACTCAATCCTGCTGGTGAAATTCTTTTGTGGCAGAGAGGAATGCTGCAAGCTTTCTGCAGAATTTATTCCCTACTAAAGTTCCACAGGCTGCTTTTTATTCCACACACAAGCTCATGCTTGAACAACATCTGCAATGTGTGAGGAGGCCATTTGACAGCAATGGCCCTGACACATGGATCTCCTTTTCCTGCCTACTTCACATTTCTCCCACAGAGAGCCAGAGCTCTCCAGCTCTAAGCAAAGGGAGTGCACACTAACACTAGTGCTAAAATGCATGCCTGGGACTGCAGTTTAAAGCGGTTTTTTTCAATCACATTAGTTTTAAGTATGGATAGTCTTCTAAGCTATGTCCCCAATCTTTCTCACTTAATGGTTTGCATTTTTCCCAAGGTAAGTAAAATATTTTTAGTGATACAGTGCATCTGTACCAATGTACTGGTAAGAAAGTCAGGTGGTGTCTCCATGTTCTTACAGTTGTTTGTGCTGTTCATTGTATACATGTGTACACATCAGCATGCTAACACATGAAAATATTCTCAAATTGTTCCTGTTTGGTTTGCAGTGAACTCCAATAAAGAGTTGCTGTCATTTAGACAACATCTTGACCTTCCTCCTTGGTAACAGGAAGCACAGAGGACATAGCCTTCCACACCACATATTTTAGCATTTCATTGCAATTCCCCTGTGTTGATGAAAACAACATATTTTGAATAACATGTATCTGCTAAGATGTCTGCTTTTGGTTTTGTGGTCCTTTTTTATTTGGCCAGAAGACATTGGGAACAATGTTGTAAATTTTTCTGTGCTATTGTGCACAGAAAAGGGGTTATTAATGTTTAGGCCAGACTGTACTTGGCTCAAGAGGATTAACAGGGATGTCAAGTTCTTAGCCAAGTCAATCTCCTCCACTGACAAGTTATAACAATCTTATTCCTAATAATAGCATCACTTTGAGAGGGGTTTTGGCCAACAAATGACATCTGATCTATTGCCTTCAGTGCTGTGTGTCTGATTTTTCAGAGTTGCCCTGTCTTTTATGCCTTTTCTACCAACCTGAAAAACTTACATTTTTCAAATGACCACTGTTTGCTCAGTAAATACATGTTCATCTCTGATATTAGAAATGTGTTAAGGACTATGCCATGAGTGAACTTGGCATCACTTAAGTCTGTGTACTAGAGGAATTCTAAGTGCTTCAGCGCTTTAAAAATGGGATTTCCTTTGCACTAGAAAGCAGTATTACTTTATTTCTGGTGAATGGAGAAATAAGCGAAGTTAAAACTGAAGTTAGAATTTTATAAATCAGTAATTTGAGGTTACAAATATTACTGTGATATCATAGTTATTGTCAAACTAGTTATTAACATTTACAAGAATTATAAAATTATACAATAATTAAAATTAAATTAAATATGGTATGGAAAGAACAGTTAGATAAGTAAATATTTTTACATCTGCCTTAGGTTAAGCCCATGCCTCTGTGACATTCTGGAAGTGGAAGGGAAAATAAATTTAAAAACACATTAAATATTTTAAACATTTTTCTTTCTTGCAATTAGTGTAAGGGTGTTTTGAATGCAACAAGGATCTAGTTGTAGTATTTTCCAAACTTTATTAGAGTGACAGGGAAAAGCATATTTGACAAGATTTCAAGAAACAGTGAAAAAGACAAACCATTCTTGATGCACTTCATTTACAGAATGAAAAAAATCAGACTTTGGAAGAACTTCTAGTGAAAATCAACCATATATTCAAAATATTTTGGTTTTTTTCACAGGGAGATAAGTAGTACTGAAAATAACATGCCCTTAGGCAAGGTGGTATGTCAATTTCTCATACAGGCTGTGGTGCATATATACCTGAATTCCTATTCTGTAGCTCTTGAATAAAAAACCTGAACATAGAATTCACTTTGGAGGCCATGGATTTTGTTGTTTCTTCCTAAGGAAGTGGACCAAATTTGGGCTGGGAAACATCTGCCTCTAACAAGCTTTAAAAAGAAATTTTAGCACTCAGATTGTAAATAATGCACAATGGTAGATAAAAAATTATAAAAGGAAAAGAAAACAAAAAAACAATCATTCTATAAATTCTAGCAGTCCCTGCCAGTAGTTTGACCAAGAATATTCCAAGTTGAGTAGCATTATTATACTTCTATTAACTGATCATTATTTATCCTGACACACTGATATTAGACAAATCTCTACAGTTTTTGCTTTACTTACCTCAAAGTAGGGCTTTTCAAAGTGCTGAAAAGGTTGTGGAAATGCCATTTCAATGGTTGAAATGGTTGCATGAATCAAAAAACCCTGAGGTCATAGTTCTGTAGGGTTGCTGTCTGTGCCAGCTGAGCCAATCAGTGCTGCTTTTGGCCATGTTTTTTGGAGGCAAAGCCTTGAAATATCTTTTCATGCACATAGACCTCAATTTTCAGCTATTAATATGACTACTAAAGAAAGCTTCCTCTGTAAGGAGTTTGCCTTAAATGACAACATGTTTCTCATACCTGCTGCTGCTGATTTTATATATTCCTGCATCTAATCCCCTGCTCCTCCAAGCAGAACATTTCTCCATTCATACCTTTTCTTCTTGCACAACTCAGAAAGTAAATGAGGGATTTGCAACTTAAGTTTGTAATAGACAATTTAAAGGTAATGCTTTAAAGAGTGAGCAAGTGGCACCAGAGCCACAGTGGCTTGGAGTGAAGAGAAAGTGGCTGGCAGGAGGAATTCCTAAGTGCTTCTGTGCTTTAAGAATGAAATTTCCTTTGCAATAGCAAGCAGTATTATTTTATTTCTGGAGAGTGGGTGAATTAGCTAAGTTAAAATATGAAGTTAGAATTAGTATAACTCAGTATGGAAATAGTATAACTCAGTAATTTTAGAGTACAAATATTACTGGAGATGCATGATGCTGAAGCTGTGCCAAGGAGACTGGAGGGAGGATTCAGATCGGCAAATGTCATGCTGGCTGATAAAAGAAAAAGACGAGAGAAGCAGAGGAGGAGGTGGAGCTTCAAGGATGGCTGATGGGAGCTAGCTCTGGTTAAAGTATTTGTAGAAT